CTTTGATCCCTTCACCGTCGGGCACTTTGATCCCTTCTCTCCCTGCCCTCTCTCCCTCGTGCCAAAGGGGCCCAGTGGAAGCTGAGCCTCCAGCCTCCTCTGGCATCAGTGGTGGGATGACATGGTACGAGCTGGGTAGTTAATACTCCACTTCAGGCTCCCCCAGTCTCAGCAGGAGCCAGTGGGGAGCCCAGCCTCTACCTTCCTCCAGCATCAGTAAGGTGGAAAGAGGTGGTGGGAATTGGGGTTAGTTCTGTACTCTGCTTCCCTCCCCCCACCCCCTGGCAGAGCTGAAGTTTCGCCCCACCTGTCTGTGACAGGCTAATGTGGGTCAGTGCCCTGCTCGTTCCGGAGTGGTGTTGGCAGCATCCACTGGGGAGCCGAGCATACACTCCCACCCAGACTTGCGCTGCACCTGACAGTGGAATACAATCTCATGATATAATGTCTGAGTAGAAAATACAGTAGAAAAATCACTCATTATACAAAGGAGCAGGAGGACCACAAGCTGAATGAGAAAATCAGCAGATGATGACACCAAGAAGAATCAGATGTTGGAATCATCTGACAAAGATTTCAAAGTACGCATCATAATAATACGTCAAAGGTAATTGCAAACACTCTTGAAACAAACATAATAGAACACTTCAGCAAAGACGGAAGAAATACAAAGGGACCAAAGGGAGATTATAGAATTGAAAGATACAACAATGGAATAACAGATGTGAGAATGACAGTAGTAGAGTAGAGATGATAGAGAACAGATTTTGTAACTACAGACTTTCCCCAGTCTGAGCAGAGCGGGAGAAACTGAAAAACCTCCGGGATCCGAGAACCATAACCAAAGAGCTAGCATTTATGTCCCTAGGGTCTCAGAAGAGGAAAGAGGATGAGGATGAGCAAGTCTTTAAGTAAACATTGTCTGAAAACCTCCAAAATTTGTCAAAAGACGCGAAACCGAAACATTCAAGATGCCGAGCAAATCCCAAATAGGAAAACCCAAAGAAATCCACCACAAGACACATCATAATTAAACTTCTGAAAACTAAAGGCAGAGAAAAAAAAATCTTGAAAGCAGAGAGAAAGAAATGGTGCATTACTTTTAGGGGAACACCGATTCAGATGACAGCAGATCGCCCACCTGGAACCGCGGAGGTCGAAAGGAATGGGCACAACATTTCAAGTCCTGTAAGAACAGAACAGTCGGCTGCATGTTTTATAGCCAGTAAAAACAGATTTCCAGATTGAAGGGGAAAGAAAGGTTAAGGAAAACTAAGAGAATTCGTTGCTAGCAAATCTGCTCTTGAAGAATGGCTGAAGGAGGTTCTCTAAAAAGAAAAGACCATGACAACAAAAGAAGGCTTAGAGCTGCCAAAAGGAAAGGACATTGGAATGTATAAAACGGGGGTAAATAAAAGGCATTACGCTCAGTGAAATACATCAGAGCGAGAAAGGCAAATGCTGTGTGATGCCACTTATATGTGGAATCTAAGAAAGCAAGCTTGTGGAACCAAGGAGTAGATTGGTGGTTGTCGGGGTGGGAGGTGGGGGAAATGGGGAGATGCTGGCCTAGGGGACAAACTTCCAGGCGTCAGGTGAATAAGTTCTGGGGAATCTAATGTACCACACAGCACCTGTAGTTAACAATGCTGTATTATAAGCCTACAAGTTGGCAAGAGAGTAGATCTTACACGTCCTCAACATATTCACGGCGTGATTATGAGAGCTGGTGTTTACAGTGCTGTGTCAGTTTCTGGTGGACAGCATAATGTTTCAGTCACACATATACATACATATACTCATTTTCATATTCTTTTTCATTATAAGTTACTACAAGGTATTGAATATAGTTCCCTGTGCTGTGCAGTATAAACTTGTTGTTTATTTTATATACAGTAGTTAGTATTTGCAAGTCCTAAACTCCCAATTTATCCCTTCCCACCCTCTTACCCTGCTGGTAACCATAAGTTTGTTTTCTATGTCTGTGAGTCTGTTTCTGTTTTGTAAATACGTTCATTTGTGTTCTTTTTTTTTAGATTCTGCATATAAGTGATATCATATGGTATTTTTCTTTCTCTTTCTGGCTTACTGCACTTAGTATGATGATCTCCAGGTCATTCCATGTAGCAGCAAATGGCATTATTTTCTTCCTTTTTTATGGCCAAGTAGTATTCCATTGTATGTATGTATGTATGTATGTATGTATGTATGTATGTATGTGTGCATATATATATATATAAAATATTCTTTATCTAGTTGTCTGCCAAGGGACATTTTAAACTCAAGTGTGTGGTTTAACATTTCTTGACCCTGAAGTTGTGATTCAGTGCTTCCATTGGAAGCTCTAGCTTGTGGGTGCTATGGAAAAGTTGTTTAATTATTGTAAAAGGTTGTTTAGTTATGGGAGTGGTCACAATTTCTAACTATGAACTGAAGTGGAAGCAGAGGGAGAAACGGGGACCACTTGCTGTTTGTCATATAAGTGGGAAATGAAAGGCCCTTGGACCACTGAGGGCAGGAATGCAGGGATGCTGGGCTGGAGGGAGGCCGAGCTTCATGCTCAGGAGGACGTGCGTCATCACAAAGAGGCAGAGCACCCATGCAGTCAGAACCCATACAAGGCTTTGAGGCTCAGGCGGAGGAAGGAAGCCAGGGGTGGTCCCAGGGGGACCACACCCAGGTCTAGTAATTCTCTAGGAGGACTCACAGGATGCAGCATCCAGTCACACTCATGGTTGGGATTTATTGTAGCAAAAGGATGAAGCACACAATCAGCAAATGGAAAGGTACGTGGGCAAAATCCAGAGGGAACTGGGCGTGACCTTCCAAGACTGCTCTCCCCATGGAGTCACGCAGGACGTGCTTAGAGGTTCCAGCAGTCCACGTGAAATGTCGTTTA